AACTTAATGCATACGACCGACAACTTTATTTAATGGAGGATCTGTAATGGTTTGGGGTGGAATTTCGCTTACAGCACGAACAGACCTTGTTTCTTTGCGAAGAGGTTCATTAACAGGTGAAAGGTATATTACAGACATTTTATCGGAACACGTGGTACCCTTTGCTCCTTACATAGGAAATAATTTTTTATTAATGCATGATAATGCAAGACCTCATGTTGCCTATACGGTCCGTGACTATTTGGATGAAGTTGGTATACAAACCATGGACTGGCCACCCTGTAGCCCTGATCTCAATCCAATAGAGAATTTATGGGATAATATTGATCGTCAGTTAAGGGGCCGACATCCACCACCTATCGTTTTGGACGACGTTGAGAGGATGGTAAGAGAGGTTTGGGATGCAATTGATCAAGATCAAATTCGACGCTTGATTTTAAGTATGCCTCGTCGCTGTGAAGAAGTGGTACGTAAGAGAGGCGGAAATACACGTTATTAGGTGATTTTGAGAGAATTGATTAAGGATTATGTAGTGTTTTTTAGGTTTCACCTACTTGTTTAAAATGTTAATAAAAATTTGTTACATTTAAACTTGTGTATCTTCCTTGATAAAAGAGATATCGAGATGATTCTTGAACGAAAATGTAGAGAAGGGTTGCCATTCTAACGTAATGTAAATGGAATGTAGCGGTTCTTTCTAATAAATTCGCAGGGTGTTGCAAAATTAGAAGAAAAAACATACATTTCTTTTTACACCCCGTATATGGGTGAAACGTTGACAATTGTCAGAAACCATCAACACATTTCTTCCTTAAAAATCAACCTATACCGTGAAGAAAGAATTATCAAAATCCATCGGTTGATTCAAAAAAAAATACCTTTAAACTTAATGCATAATTTAGGTGGTGCGATAATTTTGGAGAGTAGTGTATATAATATAATAAACTCTGGATGGCTTTGGAAACGACTAACATAGCAACAACAGTTACTAATATGTAAAGGACCAATAAAAAACTGCTGACCTTTTGGGAGTGCTGACTTGGTTCTTTTTAAATCTTAGCATGTGCAAATTTGCCCACCTGTAGAATAATATATTCTTCTTTTTCTGATTTAGCTCACAAGTTTCTAAAATGTTTCGCTTTTTACTTATCTATGTACTGTTAAGTCATAATGTTTGCATGCTTATGTTTAATAAATATTATTATTATTATATAGCTTAAAATGATTACATAAAGAAATTAGTACAAACTTTTTTTGTTCAAATCATCATCTGTCAGCTATTTTTAATTTCGTAATAATAAAACATATCAAAACAAATTAGTCATCCAATTTCCTGATATNTTATGGTATTTCCAAATTTCGAAAAGTTAACGTGCCGTAGTAAAGTGACCAAACGTTCTAGACGGCCGTACTCGGCACCAAAACATACTCCATCATGTTGCTTACGCATGTTCTGAATCCTAAATTAATATTCCAAAAATCCAGTGTTCTCTGATTTTTTTAACAAATGTCTGCTGGAGCAGATTTTTCTAGAAAAATTCGAATAACTCGAGAACGGCTGAATCAAATTGCAAAAAGTAAAGTTATTCATAAACCTTCTAAACAGACAAATCCAAATATTTAAAAATATATAGGGTGTTACGGTTAAAAAAATAAAGTAGGTGGCGACTTCCGGTATAACCGGAAGTGCTAGAAATCTGAAAATATTTTAGTCGAAGAGAACGCAATTAATAATACTTAAATCTGAATTTTCAAATTTTTGTTTTGGCTAGACCCCTGTAAAGTTCTAATGAACAGTCGTCGTGGATGACCTGTATAATATAATAAACTCTGGATGGCTTTGGAAAAGACTAACATAGCAACAAAAGTTACTAATATGTAAAGGACCAATAAAAAACTGCTGACCTTTTGGGAGTGCTGAGTTGGTTCTTTTTAAATCCTAGCATGTGCAAATTTGCCCACCTGTAGAGTAATACATTCTTCTTTTTCTGATTTAGCTCACAAGTTTCTAAAATATTTCGCTTTTTACTTATCTATGTACTGTTAAGTCATAATGTTTGCATGCTTAGGTTTAATAAATATTATTATTATATAGCTTAAAATGATTACATAAAGAAATTAGTAAAAAATTTTTTTGTTCAAATTATCATCTGTCAGCTATTTCTAATTTCGTAATAACAAAACATATCAAAACAAATTAGTCATCCAATTTCCTGATGTTATCTTTTTTTATTAAAGTCATCATCTCTCATTTTTAATTAAAGTACCACTTGAAAGCTTTATCATATGTATGTATATATAACAATATTACATAAAACAGATTCACAATAAAATTATATTAAAGGCCAAGGCTAATTCATTCTATCTTGTTCTAAAACTGTAGTCCGGTTATTTCGTTAAGAGATTTTGTTAGTCCGGATTTTACCGTTGAGTGACGAAGATGTTTCATCAAGTTCAAACAAAACAAGGTGTTTTAGAAGGAAAAGAAAGAACCGATTTTTTTGGGGGAAAATATTATAGCTTCAAAGGAATTCCTTATGCTAAACCGCCACTTGGAAAATTAAGATTTACAGTAAGAAACAATTAATCTCCACAGTAAATGATGACCTAAATTTATTTCTTCAAAAAAATAAAAATAGGCTCCTTTACCTCCTGAGCCATGGAATGGAATAAGAAAAGCTATTGACGAGCAAGAAGGTTGTTATTGTTTCGATCCCATGGAAATGAAGATAATCGGAAAAGAAGACTGTCTTTATCTCAATGTTTACACTCCACAAGTAAATTTATTTTAAATTAAAATTAACGACATATTTAAAACAAATTTTTAGTTACCAAACGGTAAGGGATTCACCCCAAAAGCAGTTATGGTTTTTATTCACGGTGGGGGATTCACTTCTGGCTCCCCAGCAGAAAAACTTTACGGTGCCGATTATTTAGTAAGCCAAAATGTTGTTCTTGTAACAATCGCTTATAGATTAGGAGTATTAGGTAAACTAAAATACACATTTAATGAAATATTTATATAAATTTATCTTTTAGGATTTTTATCATTAAAAGATCCTAATTTAAAGATACCAGGTAATGCTGGTATGAAAGATCAAGTTATGGCTTTAAAATGGGTTCAAGAGAACATAAAAAATTTCGGTGGTGATCCCGGAAATACAATTTTTGGTGAAAGTGCCGGAGGGGCTTGCGTTCATTATTTAATAATGTCCCCAATGGCTAAAGGGCTTTTTCATAAAGCCATCATGCAAAGTGGAACCGTTATGGATCCTTGGGCAAAAGGGAAACCATTAGGGATGGAGTTTTGTCACTATTTAGACATAGATCCAAGTGATGAAAATGAAATGTTAACAATGTTGCTAAAAATGCCCGTTGAAGATTTAATAACCGCTCAACTATCAATGAAAGATAAAATTCAATGCGACACTTTAAGATATATTGCTCCGGTTGTTGAAAAATCCAAAAAAAACGCATTTTTGTGTGAAGATCCAATCGATTTATTAATACAAGGAAAATACAACAAAGTTCCAATTTTAATGGGTTATACCTCTAAAGAAGGATTAATTTGGGGGTATGTACCTGAAACGGTGCCACGTGGAAATAATTTAGAAGAGTTCATTCCGTATAATATGCATTTGGATAGAGGCTCACATTTCTCTATGACTATTGCAACCAAATTAAAAGAATTTTATTTTCCCAATAACACCAACATTTCAGGGGATCCACTTTACGATGTAAATAAAAATTCATACTCACACATTAATTATTATAGTATTAATTCATTTTTAGTTGTACACAGACACATTATTTTTAAGAGGAATGTACAAATCATCACTTTACCACGTCGAAACATCCCAAAATCCGGTTTATTTATACAAGTTTTCAATGGATGGAGATTTAAACGTTTTAAAACAATTTGTACAAGCCACAAAAGAACCGGGCGCTTGTCACGGTGATGAGTTAGGTTACTTGTTTTCAAATGCTTTTAAAAAAGATGTTCCAAAAAATTCGAAAGAATATAAAGGAATTTTGATTATGATTCATTCTTGGACGAATTTTGCTAAAATTGGAAATCCAAATGGAAACGGGGATGAAATAATTAACGTTGAATGGAAACCCGTTACTAAAGACGAAATTAATTTTATGGAATTAGATTTTGACTTGAAAAGTGGTGTTTATCCTGATAAAGAAAGAATGGAATTGTGGAACGAAATTTTTAAAATTAAATCACACACCATGAGATATTAATTTTAAATGCGTTTTTTTCTTTGTTTTTTATGTATTTTGAATAAACAATGAAGGTCAATCTCGCTTAATATTTTTGTTTCTTACGAACCTTTCACTTCTTATTTCAGTGTTAAGATACATTTCAATATGGAATCTGTTGAAATAAAAATAAATCAGGGTGTTTTAAAAGGTAATGTCTCTAAGGATTTTTTAGGGACGAATTTCTTCAGTTTTCAAGGTATTCCTTATGCTAAACCGCCAATAGGTAATTTGAGATTTCAGGTAAGTAAATAAATTGATTTTAACACTTTTAAGAAAAGTATGCAACCATAGTAACACATAAGTAAATGATGTATTTTACAATAACATTAAAATCATAATTACATCAAAACTAATACTGAGTCATTGGAGCTTTTTGATTATAACGCTAAATACTCAATATGGGGTTCGAGATCAACAAGAATATCAAAAGAATGAGAATTAGTCAATGGAAGCAAACAACCTACAGCAGATACCTAGTTGTGAACGAATATACTGGCCGACTGATCAAAAATCCTAGAAGTTATTGACTCCTGCGTTATTAGAGGAATCTCCCTAGCACCTGAGAGTTGGTGATACCCATAAATTTGCTACCTATACTCCTCAAGATTTTCGACCAGGCTATCAGGAGTATCTCAAGGCGACGTACTCGGCCTAGTAATGCATCTATTGAAGATGTCAGATCTGCCAACAACGGAAAGTATCCTTACAGAATGTCTCCAAACGCGAGCAAGTATATATAAAGCTAATTAAAATGTACTGGAACCGTTGGTTGTGACCACAAACGCTTATAAAGATTCCCTGCAATAACAAAAAATCTAGGTACACGGCTACCTATGTCACCATATGTAATCTTTCCTCTTCCAAACATTTATCTTAACAACTTTTCTAATGCATAAGGATCTAACCACATATCGGACTTTATTCACTTCTTGTTCACAACTTTCCTTTATAATCAATTATTTTATTCTTCAGTCCCCCATCATTTTTTCTTGTCAGAAACTCGTTCTCTAAGTTTTAAGTATGTTGGCGACAATATTATGAGCAGCAAGAATCTCCAAGAAGTTATAGTTCAAACAACGCAAGGAAGTTTGATATCAGGTTACCTGAAGGACAGAATATAGAAAAATATGTATATGTCACTAATGTAAGATCTATTATTACATACGCGGTAGAGGCACGAGCAGCAAAAGAATTCTCAGCGGAGAAGACACTAAGGTTATTAAGAAAGATGTGCGATATCTAGGACATTGTGATATGGGCTTGAAACAGAAGGTGACACTATGTTGAATATGTGGAAGCATCAAGACTATCAGGGATAGTCAATGATGAGAACTCAACTTCCCTGTACAGGCTATGAATAATGAAGATATAAGAGCAATGTTTTGAAATAAGAAGAAGAAGAAATCACTCATGTTACAATCAGGAATCACAATCCGGAAGGATTTTTTTGTCAATTTTTCTCCATCTCTCTTTCCACTCCTTGATAATCTTCTTACTGGTTTCATTAGCAGACACTACTATGATAATAAGAGATTCCCTTCCCATTCTGAGAACTACGTCATGGAGGATGTTCTGTTGTACAGGTATCAATATGAACCCCAACCCAACTCTCATTTTATTTCATGCAAGAGGAAAAAGATATGACAGAAGGACTGGAATGCGCTATTCTTCAGTCAAGAGCTTATAGCTCAAACGTAAGGAGGTTTGATATCAGGTTACCTGAAAGATACAATACGGCACAAAGTAAGTATATGTCAACTTATTAACAATATAAATCTTTTGGGATCATAAAAGAACTAAGAATATCATTGTGAGATGCGCCTGCAAAAGAAGATGGTAATGGAAAGACTATGTTGAATATATGGAAGGATCAAGACTACCAAGAATGATGAGTCAATGATGGGAGCTCAACTTCCTAGTATAGGCTATGAATAGTTAAGAAATAAGACCAATGTCTTAAAGTAAGAAGACGAAATTACAATTCTGGTCAAACACGGACTTTTTTGTCCATGTTCCTCTTTCCACATGTTTCCTTCATCTGTCTTTCCAGTCTTTGATAATATTCTCACTGATTTTATGTTCTCATCTAAAACCATCTAAAATCTTTTCTCGCTTTACAAACATACCATAACTAACAGTATATTTGCACCAATCCTATGATTTTGAGTATCTTTTAACTGTTTTTTGCACCTTATTTATTACACATTGGTTATCTTAAAGTCCAACTTTAGAACATCTCAATCATTTTCCTTTTTAACCTGTCCTCGATGCCTTGTACTTTCATCTATTTGTCTTGTATTTCTCATCTCTTATCACGTACATTGTGATAAAAACATGTTTGTGGCATTGTCCTATTCAAGATGCAGAGCCAGAAAAGTTTCTTTAGCCTAAAGTTATAAGTATCTTCTTTTGTTTCTAACGATTGTACTTAGTATTCACATAACAAAACAATTCAGCCGACTTTGTTGAATCTTGTGGTTCTTCACAGATTTCTTAGCCCATCTCTCGCAATTTCAGTGGGAACAATTCATTGATTATCTTTATTCATGTTCCTTTACGATTTTAAGAGGACTTTTCATTCACGTTTACATGTTTTCTCGTGCAATTCTACGTTTGCTTCTAGTTGCCGCTCTCCTTACCTTTTTGAAGCTATCTTCCTATCATCAGCATATAATATCATCAAAAAGCATCCCGTACAGCCACATGATGGTTCAAAACGTGTAATTTCTCAGTGTTATAGTTTAATTCCATTTTTCTGTCAAGCACAACTCTTTCAAGAGCCTCGTAGTACTGCGTTGTTAAACATCCCCGCAATGTTAAGATAAAAGCATGTTATCTTTTACCTAAAATAAAATAGTAATGGTATTTTTTAACAGCCATTTTTTTCAAAGACAACATAAATGCAACAAATGTCAACTTAGGGATCGTATATCAATTTTGAGACACCTGTACATTTTAATTTTATCTCAAAAAATGCGCGTTAAAAAAGACAACATAGATGTCCAAGCCTCTTTTCCTTCGTTTTTGTACACAGTGTATAATAAACTCTGGATGGCTTAAACAATGATAGAACGATCTCTGTATTTTTAGAAAAATGGAAGTAATAATTAGGAATGACGGAATCCTGGACACAAAAAATATCAAAACTGCTTGTTTAGTTTTTAGGATTTAGTTTTGAGGATACAACACAATCCTAAAATAGTAAGAATCTGGGAAATCATGGGTGACAAACGCATCATCGTAGATGATATAAAAACGAAACAACTGGAAGACATCCCAAACAGATCCTAGACTGGAAACGAGCTTGATCAGCTGGAGAGAGGGAATTGATAAAAAGATGAAAGAAAGAAATTGAGAAAATCTGTGGAAGGAGAGCAGTGGAGATTAGGAATGGGAAGACGCTGGAGAACGTTTTGAGCCAAAATATATATAGTTTCGCTATATTATCCAAATTTGTCTTGTATTCTATGAACGTCATATTTAGAGTAATATTACACAAATCATTCTCTCAGTGATAAATGATTATATAAATGCTTATATCGTTATTCATTACTTTTATAGCCACGTCTTTGCTTTTATTCGTGAATTCAAGCCAACTGAACCCAGATACATCCTTCCCTCCTATGGCACCACAGCTCTAGTTGAGCTAGAGCTGTAGTCTAGTTGAGCTCTAGCCCCCTTTATTTTCTATCTTCTTTCCCTCTGTCGGCAGCTGGTTTGCGCCACATTTTCAGCATCAGTAATTCGCGTGCATTTTCATCGTCCCAGCATTTTCTTGGAATTTTTTGATATCAGAGATATCAAAACAATTTGTTTAAATGTTTTATGCCTAAAGAACTAGCACATAATAGACGAAGTCTTTCCTCAACACAATGGCAAATAATAATTGAAAATTGCGAGCTGTGGTAACACACACGCTTTATTGCTATTCATTCGTAGTTATCAAATTCGTTGAATCTGTTACATTTTTTTGACTACTGAAACATGTTTATGTATAGTTTCTCGTTATAGTTAATTCCTTCTTTGTATCAAGTACAGCTGGTGCAAGAGCGTCGTTAAACATTGTTAAACATATACATATTCCATCCCTACAATACAATACAAACAAGTCAATTTCCTAGATATATTAATAATGAAAATTCTAATGCATTTATATCCAAACTCTCTGGTAACTAAGAAAATGTCAAAAAGAAGTCTTGTGGTGATGTTGAATCCTGCATCAATTTAAAACATATTATAAATAGAACAAATCATCTTTTACAACCACTGATAAGAACGTAAAAGATAAACGATGTAATAGATTGTATAAATGATCTTCAAGGAAATTTAATTCGAAATGATTGTTGTATTAAAGTGATATTTCTAAAAATTAAATATTTTCATTAAACTAAAATTAGAACTAACACTAGAAACTTTCGGGTTTTGCCGTGCGTCTTTTAATAAAAGGTTTGACGTTTCGAATGCCATGTTGCAACCTTCTTCAGAAACTGGTTCGAAATGACGAGATCAAAAATCGGTGACTATATATAAGTCGGAAAATCTAATTAATAATCAGTTAACGCTAATTACAAGCTAATTAGTAACTAATTGCGTCGCGTCCGGTGTGAGGCGGCAAGAGGTCTTCGTGTTCACCACCATCTTCCATGTTCTGCTAAGCTCCCAGCCATCCTCTCTGTTGACGTTATTTTTATGTCGGTGGATCTCTATGGCTTCTCTTGTCAGTCTTTGGTAGTATCTGTTGTCCCTAGCCAGCACCTTTGTTTGTTCGAAGTCTATTCGGTGCCCCTCTGCATGGCAATATTCCGCAACCGCCGACTGCTGGATCTTCTTCAGCCTTACATCCCTCTCATGCTCCTTGATGCGGCACTCGACGTTGCGTCCAGTTTGGCCAACATAAACCTTTCCACAACTACACGATAGACTCCCGCTCCTTTTAATGGAGTTAGTTTGTACTTGGCTGTCGGGAGTGTGTTCCGGATTTTGCTGACCGTGTCGTACCGCACTACGATGTCGTTCTTCTTGAGGTGCCTAGCAATTCGTTCTGTTACACCTGAAACATAGGGAAGACAGATAAATCCAAGTGGTTTTGTACTTACCGTGTCCTCTTTCTGCTTTCGCTGCTTGATGGCCTGGTTGATGTCCCTCGAAGTGTATCCATTCTTCTGCAGCACGCCTCGTAGAAAGTGTTGCTCCTTCTTCAAGTTCTCTCCTTCACATAGTCTCGCTGCTCGCTGAAATAATGTACGGATCACGGACCTCTTCTGTTGGGGATGATGATGTGAACATGCCTGTAAATACCTGTTGGTATGGGTCTTCTTTCGGTGTACACCAAGTTCTATATCTCCATTTGTCGTCCTGGTGACCAACACATCTAGGAAAGGTAGTTTTTTGCAGTTTCTGTTTCCATGGTGAACTTAATCATAGGATGTTGAGAGTTCAAGTGATCCAAGAACTCTTGGAGCCGTTTTTGACCATGTTGCCATATCACAAACGTGTCATCCACATATCGGAGCCATACTTTTGGTTTCCACTGGCTCTTCTTCAAAGCGTCCTCTTCGAATAATTCCATGTAGAAATTAGCTATAACTGGCGAAAGTGGAGATCCCATGGCTGCCCCTTCGAACTGCTCGTAAAATTCTCCTTTCCAGCTGAAATACGTCGACGATAAGCAATACTCCACCAGATCTGGCACGTATTCTGGTAAACCCTCCGGAATGAGTTTTCGGCGAAGACCCTCTACAGCATCCTTAACTGGTACCCTAGTAAAAAGGGATTCCACATCGAAACTTACCAACATATCCCCAGCATCCAGCTTTACACCTTTTACCGATTCCACAAAATGTGTAGAATCCCTGACATACGATTCCGTGTTACCTGTAAAGGGAGACAGAATCTTTGCAAGATGTTTGGCCAGCTGGTATGTTGGGGAGTTGATGGCGCTAACGATAGGGCGGAGGGGTACGTCTGGTTTGTGAATCTTCGGTAGTCCGTAGATTCTTGGTGGTACCGTCGCCTGCACAAACAAACCTTTCTGCTGTTCTGCTGGAATTCCTGTGGATTTTATCAGTTCCTTCATTTTCCTTACGATTTTGTCTGTGGGTTCTTGATCTTCCTGTAGGTGGCTGGGTCCAGTAGGTTCATCATTTTGTCGTCGTATTCTTTCCTGTCCATAACAACGGTGGCATTGCCCTTGTCTGCTGGTAACACGACGATTTCTGATTTTTCTTTTATAGATCGGAGTGCTTTCTTTTCACCAACCGTCAAGTTGGATTTTAGTTAGGCTAGGGACAACAGATACTACCAAAGACTGACAAAAGAAGCCATAGAGATCCACCGACATAAAAATAACGTCAACAGAGAGGATGGCTGGGAGCTTAGCAGAACATGGAAGATGGTGGTGAACACGAAGACCTCTTCCCGCCTCACACCGGACGCGACTCAATTAGTTATTAATTAGCTTGTAATTAGCGTTAACTGATTATTAATTAGTTTTTCCGACATATATATAGTCACCGATTTTTGATCTCGTCACTTCGAACCAGTTTCTGAAGAAGGTTGCAACATGGCATCCGAAACGTCAAACCTTTTATTAAAAGACGCACGGCAAAACCCGAAAGTTTCTAGTGTTAGTTCTAATTTTAGTTTAATTCACACCGGCCGTGAAAGCCCTCGTACTTATAAATATTTTCAGTTACCAGAAAAATGGGAATCTTGGGAAGGAGTCAAAAATGCAACTCAAACAAAACCTGGTTGTTATTCTGTCGATTTCTTTTCCGGAAATATAACAGGAAGCGAAGATTGTTTATATTTAAACGTTTATACTCCCGAAGTTTGTTTTTTTATTTATTTCATAATTTTTTGTACTTTAAATCATTTTCTTTTAGATTACAACCAATTTAAAACCAGTGATGGTTTTTATCCATGCCGGAGCATTTTTAGCTGGCTCCGGAAGTACTATTTTATACGGTCCAGAATATCTAATTTCCCAAAATATCGTTTTAGTTACTCTTAATTATAGAGTAGGAGCTTTAGGTTATCTTTCATTACTTTTTTTTTAATTTATTAAAAAAAATAATTTTAATTTTGTAGGATTCTTATCTTTAGAACCTGATTTACCAGGAAACGTTGGATTAATGGACCAAATCATGGCATTAAAATGGGTTCGTGAAAATATTTCCGATTTCGGGGGAAATCCCCGAAATATTACTTTATTTGGGCATAGCGCAGGAGCAGCTTCAGTTCATTATTTACTTTTATCGCCTAAATCAGAAGGTTTTGATCTTTATTTAATAAAAAAGAATTAAATTTAAATAAAGTAATAATCTTTTTAAGGTTTATTTCATAAAGCGATCATTCAAAGTGGTTCAGCTTTAGATCCTTGGGCGAGAGGACATGAAAATTCGCAGAAATTAATTAAAGCATTAGGAATTAACGTTAAAAACAATCAGGAAGCTTTAAAAATTTTAAAAGAAGTTCCAGTTGATGATATATTGATGGCTCAATTATCAATTAAAGATGTATTTATTTAATTAGTCGTTAAAATTAAGTTTAACGAAATCTTTTTCACGCAGAGTTTAATACCAAATCTTCGAAGACCATTTTCTCCAATAATTCAACAAAAATCGACCCCAAACGCATTTTTGACGGAAGATCCTTTAAAAATAATCCTGGAAGGAAATTATAATAAAAATATTCCAATAATTTTCGGTTACACCTCGCGCGAAGGGATTCTTTTTGATTTTATGTACAAAGAAGCTAAACAATACGATTTAGAAACTGCAATTCCTCACTTTATGAATATCGAAAAAGGATCTCCTTTATCATTAAAAATATCTGAAAAAATTAAAAAATTTTACTTCGAAGGAGACGATTTTAAAATAGGAGGTGATAAATTGTATCAATTACAAACCGATAACTTATTCCTTAGAGGAATTTATCAATCCGCGAAACATCATGCAAAAGTAAATAAAAACTCGGTTTATCTTTATCGATTTTCAATGGAAACCGAACTAAACACGATGAGAATGTTATTTAAAAAAGATAATGTAGGAGCTTGCCACGGAGACGATGTTTTTCATGTTTTCAAAAATTCAATTTCGTTAAATTGCGTTGAAAGAGGATCAAAAGAATTTGATGGAGTGTTGAAAATGGTGAGGTTATGGAGTAATTTTGCGAAATTTGGAGAACCAAAAATGGATGATTTAATAAACGTTGAGTGGAAACCCATTGATGGAGAAATGAATTATTTAGATATTAATGTAGATTTGAAACAAGGTGTTTTTCCGGAAAAATCTCGAATGGAATTTTGGGATGAAATTTTATCAATTAAATCATGTTCTAACAAATATTAAATATGTTATAAATCTTAATTATCAAATAACTTAAAAATAAAACAATTTATTACATAATCCTTGAAATAAACCAGATAAGACATAATCAACCTTTTATCTACTTATTTATAGCGTATTTTTGGTTAAATGCGTTTCATTTACAGCAACTAATTTTGACGTTTAAATAACATGGAAAATCCAATAATTCATTTAGAAGAAGGGAAAATACGTGGAAAATTCGTTAGGGGATGGAAAAATATTAAATTTTATAGTTTCCAAGCTATTCCATACGCTGAGCCCCCAATCGGAAAATTAAGATTTAAGGTAAACAATTTTGGTTTTAATTTCATTTTGGTGCTTAATTTTTTATTTAGGCTCCTATACCAAAAAAGAAATGGTCCGATATTAAAGATTGCACCAAAGAAGGAGAGGAGTGTTACTCAAGGCATCTGTTTAAACAAAATATTGTAGGATCGGAAGATTGCTTAATTTTAAATGTTTACACCAAAGATGTAGGTTGAAATATGTAAAGAATTTTTAAGATATTCGAAAAACTAACGATATATTAGGTTATAAGTTAGTATATTCTAACAAAATGTTGAGTCTAGAAAAATTTATCAAAATCTATAACATAAAAAAAACGTTCTAAATTCTATCTGGTATAAAAAGAGGTAAGTTATTGTAATAATACAAGGTAATAAATATTAACAATTATTTCGTGTTTAATGGAGATAGAGTTCTGAGTTTTGAAATATCATATCAAAATAACCATTATATCTTGGTACCGAAATTTACAACAATACAGTACCCAGTGTGCATTAATACACGCGGTAAAATTTCTATACATTTTTAAGTGAGAGAGTACATATACAGTGTGTTCATTACTTATCGTACCCGACAAAGTATGCAACCAATATCACAGATTGGTATTGTAACGCTGTCAACATCTGGTTACTAATTCAAAATTATCCAAGCTACCACCACATATTGAGATATGCAGCCAATATTACACAGGTCACGTGACTTACCATAATTAATTAACACAGTGTACTTGGGGTACAGATTTAAAGAGAACAACAAGGAAGGCGGGCATATTAAAATGTTGGCAGCGAAAGCTAATAAGGTTATGGGGCAGGTTCGAGGATGGGGTAAGAGGATATTTGGGAAAGATGTGGGAAAAAGAAAAATAATGTTTGAGAGCTTGATAAAAAGCGTTATGATGTATAGAGATATGAGCATGGAAGGAGTAAAGCCTCTTAGAGACTTAGAGGATGTACAGACCAGGGACTGGAGGTGGATGTTGAGGAAGACTCCGAGATATATAATCAAAGAAGAAATGAAGGTGCGTTTTAAGGTGAGGGTGGAAGGAAGGGTGCATTGTAAAACCTTGGGGAGTGCTTCTCTGCAGCACTCCAATATTGAGGCAGGAAAAGGTCGTTATGGACAGCGAGAAAGAGAGGAATACTACAGAAGGGTGGGATATTCAACGGAAGAAGTGAACAATAAAAGAAAGGTGATTGAAATGTGGAAACAACTGGAGAGCAGGGACAGGGATGTGGAAATGCAAGAGAGAGGGACGGATGTAAGAGAAAGTAGATACAACCCAAAATATGCCGAAATTATAGCGGAGGGTCTACCGAAGTAGCAGATGACGGAGGGGGATAAGGAGGGGAAGAGGTTGGTAGCCAGGTTTAGACGTGGCAATGAAGAAAGGGCCAATAGATATTGGATAGAGAATGAGGAGAGGGTGCAGACTATGTGGGGAAGGCTGGGAGTCTTTACACCATCTACTGGGGTGACAGGGAAAGGCTGGTTAGAGGAATAAAAATCATACAGGGTGTATCAGGTGTGAGTAGAAAAAATTTGGGTTATAGGTATTCTTTTTCAATGTCCTATTCTTTGTCCTTCTGAAAATATGATACGAGTTAATGGTTCATAAGTTTGAGTGCTGCTGGATAATGAATTATACTATGCAAGTTTTGCTTATGTATTGATTTAATTTGGCATATAAAGGTCAATTTGAAAAACTATTGAATTGTTCAGAATTTAGTTTCTTAACAATGTTCAATAAAGGAGGAGGGTTGACTATGATGAGAATTTAGAGCTGAGTGATAGCGAAGACATATTTGATTTTCAAGTGTTAAAAGATATTGTGGAAGACAAGTTGATTATAATTCTGACACTTCAAATAGTGAGAATGGAAATTGAAACTTCTTACTTGCTGTTTAAAATTTATTTTAACGGTACCAGTTTCTGGAAAAACTCAGTTTCCCATCATCAGCCGAAGCTATATATATACAGCGTGTACCGTATCTTCCGCATCAGAGCATTATACGGTTGTAGGATACATTATTCTGAAGCGATCTTTCTAATAAAATTTTTTCGAAATGTTTATAATAACCGCACGGGAACTGTTTAAAGGAACTGTTTTTCGTCCAATCAGCAGATCGCAAATCAGACTCAGGTAATCGGTGCCACCCTCGGCCGGTCCGCTACGCGGATGATAACTCGTCTCCCACGTGTACTCACCAATAAATTCGTCATGGAAAGAGAAATAAACTTTTTCGATGAATCAAAGTTGTCCGTTATTGGTCGTCGTTAAACAGTTCCCGTGCGGTTATTATAAACATTTCGAAAAAATTTTATTAGAAAGATCGCTTCAGAATAATGTATCCTACAACCGTATAATGCTCTGATGCGGAAGATACGGGACACGCTGTATATAAAAATAGTTAGTAATATTCAGATCTAGCGGCTTAGAATGGTTTCCCTAATAAAATCATAAATAATCTTTTCAGGAAAATACATATTCAAACAGATCCACTATATATTAAACCCGAAAAAACAAAAAATATATACAAACCTATTACTTTTAACAGTATCACATTTAAATCAAGTTCAATCTTTTCAAAATATAACATCTCATTAGCATTCTCCAACAACAACAATTTACGTCGCATTTTTTCTAACTATCATAATAATAAAAACAAGGATAAATTGAAGGAAAGTGGGGTCTACTCTATTGCATGTTCTGATTGTCAATGTATCTATGTTGGACAAACAGGAAGAAAGCTTGAAACGCGAATTCAAGAACATAAAACTAAAGAAAACTCAAACGTTTATAAACATGCAGCAGAAACAAAACATAAAATAGATTATGAAAATGTGAACCTCATTCATAAATGTGAAAAAGGCTTTAAGCTTGATTTATTGGAATCATTGGAAATTCACAAACATAAAGTTAAAAACAAACACAAATTACTTAATGAACAAATTCAATTGCAACATAAATCTCTTTACATGTATTTAAAAAACATAACATCGTAACACCAGCTCAACAAAACAAGTTCTTCCTCTTTCAAATATTTCAATACCTTCGTTCATTCCGAGATACAACCAGTCGTTTCTTCATAGGGATCAAGTGCAGAACTATAACATCGATAACAAAAAATTTTTAACGTGTTCGTGATTCGTTTATATGTAGAAATGTTATTTATAATTTAAGATATATGTGTACATCTGTCGTTTTTTAAAAAGTTTTAATGATTGATTTGTATGTAAAAACAAAATTTCCAAGATAGTTTTATTGACGGTAAGTTCATGTTTTATATTTATCTGAATATTACTAACTATTTTTATATGTATATAGCTTCAGCTGATGATGGGAAACTGAGTTTTTCCCGAAACTGGTACCGTTAAAATAAATTTTAAACAGCAAGTAAGAAGTTTCAATTTCCATTCTCAAAATTTGTAAACTTGCAACATGGATTTTCAAACTAATCACTTCAAATAGTGATTCCGAAATTGTACTACCAAAGCAACGACGAATGAGACTGAATGGCGCGGTATCACGGAAACAATACATTTTAGTGAAGACTCCGAGATATATAATCAAAGAAGAAATGAAGGTGCGTTTTAAGGTGAGGGTGGAAGGAAGGGTGCATTGTAAAACCTTGGGGAGTGCTTCTCTGCAGCACTCCAATATTGAGGCAGGAAAAGGTCGTTATGGACAGCGAGAAAGAGAGGAATACTACAGAAGGGTGGGATATTCAACGGAAGAAGTGAACAATAAAAGAAAGGTGATTGAAATGTGGAAACAACTGGAGAGCAGGGACAGGGATGTGGAAATGCAAGAGAGAGGGACAGATACTACCGAAGTACCAGATGACGGAGGGGGATAAGGAGGGGAAGAGGTTGGTAGCCAGGTTTAGACGTGGCAATGAAGAAAGGGCCAATAGATATTGGATAGAGAATGAGGAGAGGGTGCAGACTATGTGGGGAAGGCTGGGAGTCTTTACACCATCTACTGGGGTGACAGGGAAAGGCTGGTTAAAGGAATACGAATCATACAGGGTGTATCAGGTATGATACAGGTCAATTTGAAAAACTATTGAATTGTTCAGAATTTAGTTTCTTAAAATGACGAAGGTATGGAGGAGGGTTAACTATGATAAGAATTTAGAGCTGAGTGATAGCGAAGACATATTTGATTTTCAAGTGTTAAAAGATATTGTGGAAGACAAGTTGATTATAATTCTGACACTTCAAATAGTGGTTCCGAAATTGTACTACCAAAGCAACGACGAATGAGACTAAATGGCGCGGTGTCACGGAAAAATTACATATTACGGATACAATACATTTTAGTGTCACGCAAAAGTTCAATGGACCACAGGTTCCTGCAAATACTGTACAGTCGATACAATATTTTAAATTGTAAGAGAAACTACAAATGAAGCCAACGATTACGCAGAAAATGTTCTAAATAAGATAAAAATATCTTGTAACTCTATTTGGCATACGTGACGTGCGACGAAAGAGGATGAGTTTTGAGCTTTTATTGGAATTATTACCTTTGACAAATATGCAAGAATACTAGTCGGTTAAGGACAACAGTCGGATTCCTTTCTTTAGTAAAATATTTACAAGAAAGAAATTTAATCAGATATTCTGGATGTTGCATTTGGAAACACCTGATCCTGCAAAAAATGATCTAGAATGTATTCAACAAGCTAGTAATTTTTTAGAGTATATATATTCAAAATTTTCAGACTATTTTATACCTGAAGAAAATATATGTGTTGAAATATATGTTATCAATATGGCTCTAGTTATTACCTTTTGAGGAAATCACTTAAGTGGCTGCGAAAACTGTTTTTTTTTTTTTGGGACAGGAGATATCAACAATTAATTCTTACATTCTGTATAAAACTGTACAGCTCTGACGCATTTGCAGTATTGAAATATTTTAGTTGATCAACTCAGAGGAGATTTTCGTCGGGACAGAACAAGAGTTTCTACATCAATTTCTGAAATCAGACTAAAACTTCAGACAAAACTTCACATAATGAGGAAATGTCCAAAAAGGGACTATGTTATGTGCTCTACAAGAAAACAAATAGTTAGCAGAAGGCAAACCAGTGATTACTGTGACTCTTGCGCAAGCAAACCCAGAATGCACATGGGAGATTGTTTCCAAAAATATCACACCATTCCAAAATATCATTCACACGTGTATTTCTTCTCACTTAAAATAGGACTCCTTTTTCACACTCGTTCCGCTGCGCAAATGTGCCAAAGTTGCTAGTAAGTAGTACTTGAAAAACTAGCGAAGTATTGAGGTTATTAACATTGCCTCGAACAATATAACTGATCGGTATGACGACCCGGCGAGATTAAGGAGGAAACGATTTTGTCCAATAAATAAAATTCCCTCATCCCAAAATGAGGCATATCATATCCTTGCATATCAACAACTGCTTCTTTAATCATTTTTCTAATCCAAACAAAAATCAACACTGACACAAACTAACTGAAAGGTTACTTTGAACACTCAAAATGGTGAAACGAGCAGATGATCAATGGTAATATTATATGACTAGATTCTGGTTAACCTTCATCTCAAGATGAAGGTCATGCAGTACCAGTTTGACCTTGAATGTTTTTAAGGCTGAGGTCGCAATCAATGGTCAATAAGTTGACCTTCCCCTCTACTCGTCGATTGGCGAAGCTCCTCCTTGAATCTCAAGGTCAAGGTGTGGCCTTGACCTTGATATTCGCCAACCGGTAAATACTTAAAAAGGATTTAAATAAATTCTTTCAACAACGATGATCAAGATATCGATAAAGAAGATAACATACCTCGATGACAGAATACTGCAGACAACGTTCAACTGCAACAAACGAACATGTATACGGCCCAGACTGCAGCAAGTCTCAAGAACAAAGAAACAACATTTAACAATATCTCAAAGCGGGATGAAATTATTTTAATGGGTGATCTGAATACAATAACAATACCTTCAATTTCCATAATCCATAACATAAATACACTATCGAAAGCACCAGGAGACAAAAATCCGTGACAAACTCCATAATAATCAGCAAAAACATCCACTCTTCGAAAGTATTGGATGTGAGAGTATTGAGCAAATACAGCAACTAATCATCACCTAGTATTAGAGAAAATTAGAAACATTATGGAATACACAAAAACAAAAAGAATAAGGTATGGCTAAAGGATCATTTAAACAATATCGTTGTATGCTGTGGGGGGATAATTAGGGTATTATAATATTTAAATTATAAACACCTTGGTTGTTTTATTCTTAAGAGGTTATAATGACAAGCGTATTGATGCAAATTAATCTTCCAAAAGGACCCAACAGGAAGAACGGATGAAATCTCTGTAGGGGAGTAAACCTACAGAAAAATCAAGCTCTTCAAAAGACTGAAGGAAAAGAAAGTCAACTTACTTTGCGATTTGACTTTCCTAAAACGATATCGTGACAATGACATACAGCCGACCTTCACCAGACTAACCCACCACATCAGATTCCCGCAAACTCAAGCCATCGAAGAGGCCCTCAAACAGATCAGAGAGAACGAAGATTTACCCAGCCACATCGTAGACCTTGCCAAACACTGCCTCAATAATGCTTACTTTCTATTCGACGGCCATATCTACAAGCAAGTACAAGAAGCAGTCATGGGTTCTTCACTGTCCCCAGTCATCGCCAACCTCTTCATGATCTACTTCGAGAGAAAAGTGCTAAGAGAAGCCAGACACAAACCCAAGTTATGAATTCGCTACGTCGATGATATCTTCGTCATTTGGCTTTTTGGAAAAGAAAAGCTCCATGATTTTCAGGAATACTTAAACACTATTCATCCAAAAATCCAGTTCACCACAGAAATAGAGGAAAACGGACAGCTTTCATTTGTCGACGTACTCATAAAGAAATATTTCAACAGGCTCCAACACACCGTTTATAGCAAGCCTACGCACACAAACCGATACCTTAATACCCTTTCCCATCATCACCCTTCTCAGATACAGTCAGTCGTCAACTCCCTGATTTCAATATCCATTCGACTAACGCACAACGAAAGCAGACCAGAAGAAATAACGAAGGTATCTCTGGTCCTTTCCCCAAATGGTTACTCCACGTGTTTGATGAAGAAAACCATCGACTGACACTCCAAGCCCCGGGATCCACCCCTACAAGAAAAGAAGAGGAGACCCAACGTCGTACCACCACATACAAACCTAACAAGACCATAGAGGAGCTTCTCTCAAGAATCCAAAGGACAGGCTAAAACTGGAAAACCTAAGAATGTATGCTATCCCCTGAGGCTCGTGCGACAAGAACTACGTGGGACAGACCAACAAAAGAAGAAGAGTCGCCAGAGTGGAGGAACACAAGCTGAGGATTCGCAACAAACAACTCACATCTGCTCTCTTCCGCCACCAACTCGACATAGGACACACTATCAACTTTGAGAGCTGCAAGGAAATAGCCAACGTTCCACATTGGAAGACCAGACTCATCTGCGAGTCCATCGAAATAACAAAGAATGGTACCCTCAAAAAGAGAGATGACGCCCTACCCTTATCAACCACGTGGAAAACACACACCATCCCTGATTCGGAACACCCTTCCCGAGACGTGAACCATCAAGCTCCAACAGGTCAATGAACTCCTCGCACCACCTACGACATCCGGTGGAAAAACCCGAAAAACCAGCAACCACCGGACGGCCAATGTCCTCCCCCTAACACCCACGGCTGACGTCAGATCATACATGATTTCCACGTTTAAATCTAAATATTAGTGTAAGTGTGTGTTCCCTGATGTATCTCCTATTCGGCCTCTTCTATTCCTACCTAAGATAGTTCGTATCCTTTCGTGTCTTTATTCCATATGTCATGACGTGTCATGATTGTTCAAACATGTATGTTTGAACAAACGATCTCTTAAGCATGCTAACAAAGATGTCGTTTTATTGATCTGGTTACTTAAGTTTTTTACCGGAATATGACTTACTTTGAAGTAACAAATTTGCTCGAGGGGCTAGTTTTCTGCCAGAAGTTTGCAAAAGCTCAAATTCAACGATGATACCTCCTGTATAATTTTGTCCTTTATCCGGTTAAACAGGAATGGGGTTGAGATTTGAATTACGTTTACAATGTTGGATGGCGTTCCTCTCAATCACTGTCTTCTAGGCGTACACTATCCAAGATGTTCATCATATCAATGAAGTAGATATAAAGGGTTATCAAGGTTTTGGGTTATTATGATATTAAATGTAGAATTTCGGCCGCAAATGACCTGGGCTTATTTGATAAAATCATTTATTTCCCACTTTTAATAAAGCCGGGACTGATCTTTACACTGCTGCGCCTTGGCCGCAAGCATCCTCAGCTTAATCGGATAAAGTCATACATTTGCCACCTTAATTAAAGCCGAGGCGCAACAATGTGATGGTCAATTTTGTGTTGATATGACATTAATTNGACTGAATGGCGCGGTATCACGGAAACAATACATTTTAGTGTCTCGCAAAAGTTCATTGGTCCACAGGTTCCTGCAAATACTGTACAGTCGATTCAATATTTTAAATTGTAAGAGAAACCACAAAAGAAGCCAATGATTACGCAGAAATGTTGAAGAGTGGAGAAACACACGCTGAGCATCCGCAACAGACAACTCACATTTGCTCTCTTCCGCCACCAACTCGACACAGGACACACCATCAACTTTGAGAGCTGCGAGGAAAAGGGCGGGGCTCTACACTTATCAGCCACGAGGAAAACAGTCCTACACCCTCTCCGATCCGAAACACCCTTCTCGAACCACCTCACGTGAACCATCAAACTCCGGACAACAGGTTAAAGACTCCCCGCACCACCTACGATATCCGGTGGAAAAACCCCAAAACCAGCAACCGTCGGACGGCAGCCCAATGACCTTTCCCTACCACCCACGGCTGACGTCAACTCAGATCATACATGATTTCCACATTTAAGCCTAAAAATTAGTGTAAGACTTGAATTCTTTGCACCGTGCCAACATCTACTATACTACATCGTGATGTATATATTTCCTATTCGGCCTCTTCTATTATTATCTAAGATAGTTCATATCCTTTCATGTCTTTATTCTATATGTCATGACGAACATGTATGTTTGAACAAACGATCTCTTGAGCATGCTAACAGAGATGTCGTTTTATTGATCTGGTTACTTAAGTTTTTTGCCGGAATATGACTGGTGGAGTTATCCAGTCCAAATTATTTGAAGTAACAAATTTGCTCGAGGGGCTAGTCTTCTGCCAGAAGTTTGCAGAAGCTCAAATTCAACGATGACACATCTTATATATATTTTGTCCATTATCTAGTTAAACAGGAATGGGTTTGAGATTTGAATTGCTTTTACAATGTTGGATGGCGTTCCTCTCAATCACTAGTCTCAGAATGTCTTCTAGGCGTACACTATCCATGTTCATCATATTAATGAATTAGTTATAAAGGGTTATCAAGGTTTTGGGTTGATATGATATTAAATGTAGAATCTCGGCCGCAAATGACCTCGGCTTATTTGATAAAATCATTCATTTCCCACTTTTAATAAAGCCGGGACTGATCTTTACACTGCTGCGCCTTGGCCGCAAGCATCCTCAGCTTAATCGGATAAAGTCATACATTTCTCGCCTTAATTAAAGCCGAGGCGCAACAATGTGATGGTCAGTTTTGTGTTGATATGACATTAATTGTAGAACCTCGGCCACAAAGGACCGAGGTTCTACTGCCGCGCCTCAATTTTAATATCAAAATTTTGCTTTTAGTTACCTAACGAAAAAAATACAAGTTTAAAACCTGTTATGGTCTGGATTCATGGTGGTGCTTTTATAACCGGTTCAAGTAAAACTGATCTTCATGGACCTGATTATTTAGTTAATGAAGATGTGGTTATTGTAACTATAAATTATCGTTTAGGACTTCTTGGTATGAAAAGGTATTAAATCAAAAATCTCCTGTATTAAAAAGACTATCTTTTTAAGGTTTTTTATCCTTTGAAGATCCAAATTTAGACATCCCCGGAAACGCCGGATTTAAAGACCAAGTTTTAGCGTTAAAATGGGTACAAAAAAACATAAAAAAATTCGGCGGGGATCCAAATAACGTCACGATTTTTGGGGTTAGCGCTGGAGCTTCGTCTACTCATAATCTAATTCTGTCGCCAATAACGAAAGGTTTAAAATTTTATTAAAAAATTTTTAATTTTAAACGATTTTTTTGATAGGATTGTTTCATAAAGCTATTATGCAAAGCGCCTCAGCATTATTACCTTGGAGTGTAACAAAAAGTCCGTCGAAAACTTTAATGGATCAATTAGGATTTAAATCAGAAAAAGATTTATACGAAAAATTACAAGGACTACCTGTTGAAGAAATATTTAAGATTCAAGAAAAAATGGGAGATGTATTTTTTATCTAATTAATTTTTGTTTTAATAATTTTGAATTTAATTTTTTTTTGTTATTAGCATTTTGATGCTTATAGACCGAGAGAAATTGGTTTAGTAATTGAAAAATCAACGAATAAAGAGGATAATTTTATGCCAGAACATCCTTTGGAAATAATTAAAAAAGGATCTTACAACAAAGTACCGATGATATTGGGGTATTGTACTAGAGAAGGAATGTTTTATGCCTCACTTGAAAAGAAACGTAAAATAAAATTGTTAATAACCAACTTTGAAGATGCAATCCCAAATTATTTAAACATCCCGAGAGGGTCTCAAAAATCGAAAGAAATTGGAGAAAAAATTAAAAAATTTTATTACGCCGATGAAGAACCTAGCCAAGAAAATAAAGATAAATTTTATTTGGTTAATAATCAAAACATCAAAAAAATATCATTTAATTAATTTCTAATTTTTAGTTAACCACTGATATTTTCTTCTTTTACGGGATATACAAAGCGATGAAATTGCATGCTTTAAAATCAAACCCACCAGTTTATTTTTACAGGTTTGATTTAGAAACAAAATTAAATATTTATAAGAAATCAACTGGTTGTACACTTCCTGGAACGTCACACGCTGATGATATAGCATATTTATTTAAAACCGATTACATAACCGAAGATGATATTCAAGAAACCAGTATTGAAGAAATATCGAGTAAAAAAATCGTAAAAATGTGGACGTCTTTTGCAAAAACGGGAGATCCAAATCCAAAAGATTACTCGATAAACGCTAAATGGATACCTGTTGAAGAAAATAGCATCAATTATTTGAATATTTCCGAAACATTTTCGGTGAAAGTTAATCCAGAAGAGGACCGAATTAAACTTTGGGATGAAATTCATTCTTCTTGATTTTATTTGTAAATAAATCTTTTTAATTTAAAAAAAAAACGATTAATTCCTAATCTTAATTCGCATATCTAAGTAATTACTACGATAACCTTGGGCTTTGAAAGACTATTCTATAAAATTAGTGAGCCTTGTAAACCTAAACAGTACACGCAAAGTTGTTTTCTAAAATGGTTCTTGTTACAATTGAGGATGGAAAAATTCGCGGTTGTGAAATTGTGGGGTTTAACGATGTGAAATTTTATGGGTTTCATGGAATTCCTTACGCTAAACCACCGATTGGGGAGTTGAGATTTAAAGTATAATTAATATTAAAGTATCACCTCGATATACTAATTATTTAACGGTTATATTTAAATATAAATATTAGCACTCATAGATAGAATCTAACTCGGGTTATTTTTTCTTTTTGAATTACATTTCATTTTCATTCTATTATTTAGTACAGGTTTTTTATTTTATTTTCTATAGTTTTAACAGACACTAGCTTAGACAAAAATTCTATTAAACTAAAACTAGAACTAACACTAGAACTAGAAACTTTCGAGTTAAGCCGTGCGTCTTTTCAACCTTCTTGAGAAACAAGTTGCTTTACTACCGTTTAACTTACGCCAGATCGTTGACCAACCCTCTAAAGTTTCGAATAACTCTGAATCATTAATTGATTTGATATTTTTGTCCGAGGATTTTTTCTGGTCACTTTATAATTTATTCTTAGGTACTAATTGAAAAAGCAGACCTCCTAAAACAATAACCTACCGTGATTTACGTAATATTAATATTGCTGATATTAATAATGACTTGAAAACGTGCCTTTTTAGAACAGAATTTTAACTTGAATGACTCTCGTAATTTGTGGAAGTAGTTAAAAAGATACAATGTTGTTAAGTCATTTTTGCAGTTTTGCCGCCTAACTTGACTGAAATGATAAATTCAAAATGCTCAAGTTCTTCCTTTGCAAGCACTTCAAGAATGCAGAGTCGATTATCGATACACAAAACTTATTTATAACACTACAAGAACACTACAATGACGGTAAAATTCCATGAAAGTACAAAGACGGTAAGACAAGGCGATACAATGTCCCTAAAATTGTTCATCACAGTCCTGGAGAGTGCACTTAAACAACTGGATTGGACCCAAAAAGGCATAAACATTGATGCCACTTTATTTTATCAATTTTGCTTTGAGCATATTAACATGTCCTGCATTTGTGTTGTTGATTACGATAAGACAGCTGCTGATGAACATAGTTCGAAACTAGTCCTGTCATTTAAATGAAATAAATATTGCCGGAAGCAAAAAGTTTTTTCTTAATTATATTGTATTACTTCTCGTATTCCTCTTCCAAAACATCGACAAATTCAAGATGGATATAAACTCGTCCACCGTCCATAAATATAAACGCATCTATAAACAGCTTTACAAGACGCAAAATAACATAAACTTTATTAACATCTGTCTGAAGAAAAACATTGTACCCAACTTTGCTAAACTTACCTCAAGAAACATTCACCCAAAGCAAAAACTTCGAGTCGAAAATAACATAATGAGAAAGGAGAAACGAAAACACCACTGGAAACTTAATCTACATTACACAAAACTTGCCTATTTATACAGACAACTAACAATAATATACCACCCCACAGAAATAGATGAAATCATAAATACAACAATAACAGTAGTGCAACACGAGTCCAAACAAGATCAATCTAGGAAAAACAATAAAATCCAGAAACTAACAAGAATCCAACACAAACCGGAAACACGTGAGAAAAAACATAACAAAAATAATATAACTAAAAACTCTAATAATCCATTATATACAGTATGTCCACGGAAAAGGTGTTGAATAGGAAAAACTTTTTTTGTTTTTAATTTTATCGAAAAAAGTTAATCTTGATAAAAAATTTTGCTAGTTCTTAGAGTAAGATTGGGATAGAAACATTTAACATATTTTATCTACAACTATTGAATTATCTATTCGTTATACATTTGATTTTTGATGGGTAATGACACGCATTACCCATGACTGACAAAGTGTTGAATAATGAAGCCATTATTCCACAGTTCTGACACGGCCTACTAATAAAAAAATAAAACATTAACAGAAATAACAGCTTTCTTATATTGAGGTTATGTCTGAAATGTCTATCAAGTTTATTTTTTTTCGTTTTTTTGATTTTTTTTTTTTCAAAATTAAATAGTTGTAGATAATAGTGAGTTTAGACATGCATGCATTTAGTGGCGCCAATAAAAACTGGCGCGCCAGTAAAATTAAATTGCATGTGTAAACATCAACTGGCATGCAAGTTGAAACCGTGCATGAATGGATCGGAATAGTCTGCACCCTTCTGAAATTACTGGCGCCAGTGATGAGTCTAAAACATGTAACCATGGCAACATAGGTGAGTGTCCACAAAAATACAAAATCTTTTAATGTCAAATTTAGGTTATGTTTCATTGCATTCAAATTAAATCCCAATTACGTTAAACTGGCGTGTCATTTATTTTTTACATGTGCCACGCCAATGGCACATGTAATGTAAACCTTTACTGGCGTGCAAGTAGAACTGGCGCAACTACTGGCGCCACTAAATCCATGCATGTCTAAACTCACCTTTAAGTATAGTATTCAACTTGCGTATAATGGATGTTACCCACTCAGATTACAACACTCGCTCGCTTCGCTCGCTCGTGTTGCAACTTCTTCTTCGTGGGTAACAGCCGCCATTATACGCTTGTTGAATAATATACTATTATCTACGACTGCTTGGATAAGTCATCATTACCGCACTCATTTGAGGTGATTTGAGTTACGTAATGAAGTTCATTACCGCACTGGTTTCATTACGTAACGCATTTTTAGCCTAATCAGAACA